GTAGCCAGGCAGCTAATGTTTTTAGAATTAATGTTCAGAAACATTTGTAGGGCAAATAGATCTGCAAATAGACCCCCTTACTTAAAAAAAATAAGGAGGCTGCCACTGCTGACCTCCTTCTAAAAACATTAGCTGCCTGGCTACTCATTGAACAGGAAGACAGACAATTAAAGTCAGAGTTACTGATTTGCATGCTAGTTCCAGGTCAGTGACTTAAAAAGTACTGCAGCCATTAGATTGGCATGACAGCCAGGGATCTAGCATTTTAAGGAGGAGAGGTCAGCAATACACTTAGTCGTTAGAGGTTTGCCTGTGTGAATGGGCCCTTAAAGTGAACCTGTGCTTTGCTTATGCAGTGCAAGGCAATAGGATCACTTAATGGCACCCTTCCTGCTGCACATACATGCCTTCCCTTTGCTACCGAACTGCTCCAGTTGCCCATCAGGTGCAAAGGGGGGGGGACGCGACCGAGTGTAAGCTCCAAGGTGTGTCCCTCATGTGACAGCTCCTGCATGGCCAATTACCAAGCACCAGTGCAGAAACATGAGAGGGAGGGGGACACATGATCCCCTTAATTGGAAGCACCAGGTATTTATCTAAATGGAGTCACAGGGGTATGTGCTGCAGGTGGGGGTCTGCCTTAAAGTGAACCTGTCGCTTTGCCTTGTACTGGAAAAGCAGAGATTTGTTTTAAGAACTTCTTTTTTGACACTACAATGCAGGCAGCAGAGTATGTAGTAATGCTTATGTTACCATCACATTGAATTCATGTATGAACATTCAGCATCACAGAGGTTTAAAGTAATGCACAACCCAATTATCTGTGCTTTGCGTCCTTAAAGGGAGTCTTGTCATGTCAAAAATATGGCAGGTGCATTGGCTGGCCTGTTTTCGAGGCGCATGCTACAGGGCTGTCATTCATTGTGCCACTATTTAGCTAGTCATTAACCTGGAGCACACATGTGCATGCTTGCTCTGAGACATCGACAGGCTGAATGATGGCAGATGGGAAACAAGCACCTAGACAAAATATATCAGCGAAAACAGTTTTCATATCTCGCTGCTGACAGTTTCCTTTTAATCTGCAAGGAATATATCGGGCTTCAAAGCAGATCGGACTTTATTTTACAGTCCCATGCCTCGTCTTTGAAAGCAGCGGGCTTTATCGAATTGGCCTGCAGTAGCCTAAAGCAGTGTGAATTATTCTCTTATAATCTATGGATTACTGCGTGTCATCGTTCCTTAAACCACAACAAATAAGCTCCCACAATACAGCGCTCACAAAGACGTTTGTTTTAATCAAATGAACGAAAAATACAAATGCTGAAAAAAAAAGAAAAAAAAAAGGTTATACCTCATCGGCGGGCTAGCAGCCACTTATCTGCTTCTCGAACATAGCTACAAAAATATGGCTGATTTAGTAGTGTATATAGATTATATACATACACACATTATATACACATATGCAAACACGTAATGCAGTACACGAGTCAGGTTCACAGGTATTTGGTATTCATTAAAAAAAAAAAAAAAAAAGATTATAGAGATATGGAGAATTTGTATATGTGTCACCCAAAAAAATGATATAGGTTCTACCTAGGCAAAGGTGTGCAGTCATGCAGAGATTTGGCAGAAGTAATATGACAGATATAGGGTTAATACATCTTAAATGTCTCAGTTTTGGGGGGGAGGGAGGCTGATGGCTCCATTTTGCACACTTGTACCAATCTGTGATGGGGAAGTGTGAGTGGAGTTTTGGACTGACTATATCCCCTATTGTGAAGGGTTAGGAGGTCACAGTGGCAAGCAGTATACAGCAGATTGCTGGGTGTACCTTCCATGATAGGGCAACGGGTATGGCAATCAGACAGACCCTCCAAATAAGCCACTGCCTATTCACATTGGGAGGTGTCAGATTAGTTGACTTGGCTATCTGGTACAAAGCTGAACGAGGCCAGGAGGACTGGACAGCTGCACTGGGAATACCTTGAAATTACCCACCAGAAAAAAAGGGGGCAAAGGAAAGTCTGCACTGACCTGCCGAGGGCAGGGACAGGGGAGGGGCTGAATTAGCCTGAGACACCCCTTGCCAACAAAGCCTCAGCAAATGTCAGTGTAATGTATGGTGGCTGCTACTCTTACCTTGTACAACTGCAGTCATATTCTTATACCCCTGTGGGAATTTTATCTGTATGAAGTTTGTATCGTCGCTGTGTTACTGTGGTTCTATAGTTTCCTTCACAAACTCAAAAAAACAGAGTTAGGTTAACCGCCTTTCAACCTAACTGACCTTACTGTGTCTGGAACATTAGACTGTAATCCCCAGTGGGCTGCCTGTGCTAAAACAGGGAACAATAATCAACAATAAATCCTAAATACAAGGTAGTAAAAACAATCCTCTATCACATGGGTAGGCAACCTCGGCACTCCAGCTATTGTAGTACTACAAGTTCCATGAGGCACTGCAAGACTGACAGGCACGACTCCTAGAGGCAGAGACATGATGGTATTTTTTGCCGAGGTTGTCTAACCCAGCTCTATCATATCAGTGGTAAAAAAAAGCCATATCCACTCCATCACAACACACATTCAAGATTGCAGATAGATTTATACGAAGAAACATCTATTTTCATGACAGCTTTATACAAAATAAGCATTCATTGGCTTTGGAAATCAAACATAGCTGCAGTAACTTCTCTCAGCCAGCAGGTGGTGATGTCTATACTACATGGGATTATTAGCGATAAAGCCATAGAGTAGACCGCCAATATAAGCAGCGCATCCTGCTGGCCTTGTGTCAGTACTGCATCCCCATTATCAATCGCAAACTTAGAGGTACTCATGAGGTTATCACTAGTGTATGCTGTGTAAACAAAAATAAATACCAGCTAGCGGTCTGACAGGAGTGCTGTGAACATATTGGGGACCTGGTAAGAGGACCGGTTCTATAGAAGATCTGTTTGGGAATACATACATGGGTACCATATTGTAAGCCGGTTTTACTTTTGCCTTAGGCTCAACGGTCGATTGGAACGGCTGTTGGGGTTCACCGAATCTTGCATCAGATCACTTGCCATGATTCAAAAAGTGCCTGAGCCCGTCTCATTAAATGTCCATAGAGTAAACCGTCAAACGATTAGGTATCGGAGTTGCAAGCAGCGTTCGGTATCTCTATTGCGAAGCCCAAATCATCTTTGATCAGTCATTAAATGTAGTACACTAAAAACCGTACAAACAAAGGTCTAGAGGTTAAGGATGGACAAATGACAATTCAGCAGCCAGGGACAGCAGGCCTGTTACAGGAGTCAGGGAACTTGTGCTTTTCTTTGAAAAAATAAGACAAATACAGAAACAGGGCCACAGGGTCATTTGTTTTTGGCCCACTGTTTGCTTGAGTCCAAAGATTTGTCCATCCCTAAGACAGAGAAGGAAGTACATTTTGATCCATGGTTCATATGAGGGTTATCTCCAACATATGATGGGGAAGGGTTAGTACCCATCTAACTGCTGGTTCCCCTTTGGAGAGATTTCTCATCAGTTCCTGTCCTGAAGTGAAAATACATCTCCCCAAAGTAATGGGAAAACCCCAACTTAAAACAGATATCATCAGAACAGGCGTCCCTATTAGGTGCCCTTATGCCTTATTCTAGTGACAACTGTGAAGCACTGACATCAATAAGAACCTGAGAGGGTTTCCAACCCTCCCCTACTCTATGCAAAACCCAAAGTTTCATTGTCTCACTCCTTCCTTATTTCATGCAGGTTACCCAGGCATTAATGCAGAACTCCAGGCATATTATATATACATATTCAAAATAATGTATCTAAAGTTACTATAATGGGCTAAAATTTAACTCATACTATCCTCATACAACGCCCTGCACAGCAGGATTCACACTGGGAGGATCTTCACTGTTAATCAATTGAGTACTATTGCATTGCAAGCTCTGGCAATCAAAAATATTACAGGCACTAGGGGAGGCATTTTTGCAGCCTACAGAAGAGGAGAGTCCCGGGAGGACCTAAGCAGTGTAGAGAGGGTCTTTCACAATAGCATGGGCAGGCAAAGCTGAAACATTAGTGTAACTGTTCTGGCCAAGCAGTGTGGCAGTAGTCTATTACTGACCAAATAATGTTAAAATATTTTTGAAAGTCGGAATAGCTCAAATGTATGTAGTCTGGAGTTAAGCTTTAAGGTGCCCAGAACAGGTATTGCAGCCGGTGATGTCTGAACACCAGGTCGGTATGCCTGTTCCCATTTAGAGGCCATTGAATTAGGATAGTAGTCCGGCTGTTTGCATTTTTAGAAGGAGAGGTTAGTAACAGCAACCTCGGTCTCTCTGTACAGGTATCTTTTCAGAATTTGTAATAGCACAACTAAAAATCCACTTGTACAGCAAAGCCCCTTACTTGGCAAAGGTGATGCCAAAGGTCACTCAAAACTGATATTTCAATTATAGGTTGACAGTAGTGGGTGGAAGAACTGTACTCCCCCGTCATATTTCTCTAAATTCCAGCAATGCAATTTCTCTTTTGGAGTTTCCAGGTGTGCATCCCAGCAGGGCCATGGTGACTCCCTTGTGCAGCTGCATTCTATGTAAAGCAAAATAATTGGAGGATATAATTGGAGTGAGACCCTCATGAAATGATTGTGGCAGTGGGCGGAGCCGAGAACCCAAGTGCTGAGACCTCTCCTCTAGAATAAAAGGTGTGATAGAAGACAATGGCCACGTCAAGGTTCTTCATCCATTTAAAATTAAAATATCAGTTTTGGTAAGTTAGTTATGATGCACAAGGATGCACCCTGACCGCTGAACCTGCCATTCAACAAAGGTCAGGGTGACAGACAGGTACTCACAAAAAGTCCTAAAATTCAGAATAACATAAAAAAAGGACTGTGTGGAAATGGTTAAAGGTACTTGCACTGCTGGCTACTGTGCACCCTATACACAGATATGTACGCTTGCTTATACAAACCCATGCTTTCATTTTATTTTTTGTTTTGGCAACCAAAAATAGTAATATATCTTTAATTCCCTGATTGCTGAACAATAACGTTTCCTAAAATGTTTCGAAAAGAAAAAAAAACATAAAGGAGGAGGTGCATATACATCTATAAATATATCTAAATGTACACCCGCTCCCCACAGACACAGTTAGCGAGCCGCAGCTCCGGTGCAAATGGCGACATGGCGTCTAGGTCAGATATGAGGAGTCCAAGGAAGGAGAGTGGAGGGAAGAAGGAAGAGAAAGGGGGGCGTCAATAAATGTCAGGACAGTCTGTAAAGTTTCTATCAAAGTATCCTCCTGTGTAGAGCCAGTCCGAAGTCTTAGTGTGCGCATTAGTCCCCTGCGTAAACCACCTGGAAGAGAGAGGATGCAGGTTATAGGTGCAGATGTATAAAAGACAAAAGGCAGACATCAACATAGAGGAGACAATGACAGATGGTGTGTGGCTGCATATAAATTAATCCACCTTGA